AATGTCCCTGGCTGTACCTTCTGGGACTCTACCTGTCATCACAGTTAGTCTTCACCTGAATGTCCCTGGCTGTACCTTCTGGGGCTCTACTCCTCACCAGGCCAGGCCACTTGGCTCCTTGGGGAGTGACCCTGCTCTGGGGCTGAGCCCAGTGCCCTGTGGGCATCACAGTAAAGACACAGCTCACAGCAGCACCCCACGGGCTCTTCTCCTGATCGCCAGGGAAGAGCGGAGGTGCACTGGCTGGTCTGAGTCTCACCCTGTCCAGCGCTGCCCTGCAGGCTCCTGAGCCCTGCAGCCTGAGCTTCCCCTGGCTCTCTCCTTGCTGTGCAGGAACCACGCCTCACAGTTCTCACTGGGGTAAACAAGAGCGACAGCAAAACATAATGTCAGGGATTGGCTCCCAGCAAGACCGCAAGGCCGGTTCCCAGTTGGCAGATGAAGGGCTGGACTGGGAGCCCGCAGCTGCTGCTCGTTGTGTCAGCCAGGAGCATCTGGCAACCTTCAGACCCCAGAGTAGAGCCATCTGGCATGAGGACCCAAGGCGGGAAGCATTTGTGTGAAGGGGCCTGGGCTGAGCCAGAAGTTGTACATTCCTTGTTCAGTCCTGCCAAGTCCCAGCTGTGTGACTTTGGGCAAGTGGTTCAACTTCTCTGAGCCTCAGTATTCTGAACCTCACAATTGAATGAGGTTACTTTAAGGATTGCATAAGATACTATCAGTGAAATTCTCCTCAATAAAGATGTGTCAAATTTCCCTGGAATATTTCAGTTGCTAACATTTCCTTCTGCATGCAAAGAAAAAACAGAGATTATGAAAAGGTTAGCAACTGTGTTGTGTCAGAGTTAAAAGGTTTATGACTTAAAAAATCAAAACTCAGTCCTTCTGTGGTTTCAAGGTTGATGTCTATTATAAAGTTTTGGAAGTTCTCTGTCTATTCTGCCCTAATTTCCTCTGCTAAACTCGTTCTAGGAAGCTTGACCTAGAAACTAAGCGCATTAACTCATTTGCATAGTCATGCAAATGATATTATAATAACTTTTATAAATATTTATTATCACTGCTTGAAAAGTTCAGTGTGTGTGTGTGTGTGTGTGTGTGTGTGTGTGTATGTGTGTGTGTGTGTTTGCAGTTCTAGGGACTGAGATCAGGGGTGCTTTATCTCCACTGCATCTCCAGCCCCTTTTACTCTTTCACTTTGAGACTGGGTCTCCCTAAATGGCTGAGGCCAACTTTGCAAAGCTGGCCTGGACCTTGTGATCCTCCTGTGTCCACCTTCCAGGGAGCTGGGATTAAGGCGTGCACCAGCAGGCCTGGCCAGTCAGTCTTGTTAAATGAAGAGCCAGGCACGGTGGCGCCCACCTGTAATCCCAGCGACCTGGAGAGGTGAGGCAGGAGGACTGCAAGTTTGAGCCCAGCCTGGGCAACTTCAGAGACCCTGTCTCAAAATTACAAACAAAACAAAACACTGGGTATAGTTCAGTGGTAGAGCACCCCAGGGACTGGGTTAAATCCCCAGCACCAGAAGAAAATACAAATAAATACACAAACGTATTCATGAAATTTAAATGAGGAGATGAGGAAAAAGGAGAGTGCCCACATATTTAGAGGCTGCCACGAATACTGTCGGAAAGTGGAGATCAGCTCATAGACTCGCCCCAAGCGCTGTCCCAGTGAGCTCTGTCTCTAGGGTCAACCCGTGTCATAGGGATGCTGCGTGTCTGTTGACGGTGACGGAACTCGAGCAGAAGAGCCCCTTTGTAGTGGCAGTCCACTTACGGGGTGGCTCCTCTGTCGAGCCCTGGGCTGGGCGCTTATCTGCGTTACTTCCAATCTTGGGGGTCATCGTCCTGATCCTATGGCACTGGGGATCCTTGGCACTGGCTTGAGCTCTTCTGGTTCCCACGCCCCCTCCTTTCCCAGTCCTGTGGTGGTGGCCCTTCTCTCTCAGGTGTCACCTGCCGGGACCTTGCCTCGCCACCCTGCCCAGCTTCTCTGACTGTGGGAGTCTGCTAGAACGCCTGGTGGCCTCACCATAGCCTTGTCAGAGTCACAGAGGAACGGTCCCCACTTCTGTCACATTGGACAGGCCCTCTGTAGATCCTGACCGGGACGGAGCTGCTGTTGTCCACTGTGGTGACCTTTGAGAGGCCCCTGCCATCGTGATTCCTTCCCTGAATTCTCCCCCTCTCCCCTGAGGTAACCCCACGATGGACCACCTGCACTCAGCTGCCTCCAGGCTCCGGTCTGTGGGGGACCCGCCTAAAGCAAAGGCTGAGCAGAGAAGAGCGCAGGGTCACGATATTTCCCCTGCTTTGGGCTTGTGTGCAGGTGTGTGCGCATGTTGAAGTGTGTTCTGTCACGTGTGTGCATGGATAAACAAGCGACTTCTGTGCTTCCAAGCAGAGCTAGACAGGACTGTGGGTGGCCTCAGTTTCCACATTCGCAAGCATGAGCCAGTGGCACTGGGGCCTGTGGGGTCCCTTTCAAGTTCCACGTTCTTGCACAAACGGAATTTCCTGCCCTGAAAACGATCCACTACTAGAAAAGAGACTCCAGGTTTGGAGTTGATTCTAATGGGCCGTTGCCCGATTTCAAAAGCAGAGCAGTTGGAAAGCCCCAAAAAAGAAACACAAAATCAGAGGACACAGCTAAGAAATTCCAAAGACCAGTTAAATGGCCACAGTCATTAAAAAAGACAGAACATTGTATCTTCAGGGCACACGCATGTGTGGGTTTGTGCTGAGAGCGTCGTTCCAGGAGCGTCCTGAAAGCAGTCATGCCCATGTTATGTCCAGTGCTAACTCCCTGTTGTCCTTCCAGACTCAAGTCCAAGTCAGTGCTCCCTCTGCACTGACCAGCTGTGTGGCCTTGGACCCTTTAACCTCTCAAGAACTCTCTCCCTAGTGGTAACGTTCCAGTTCTAAGGAGGCAGGGCTTTAAGCAATCCTCCACACCTTACAGCCACTTCATTGAACCCTGCAGAAGCCACTCCTCACAGCAGGTACAGAGGGAAATGAGTAACTGACCCAGGCGTCGACTCGGGTTTCCTAGCCTCACCCCTCTGCAGATCTTGCCTTTCCTGTAGAAAGCTTTTTTTTAGAAAATATTTTTCTCATCAAGTTATTTGGAAAGATACTAAGAAAGTCCCCCCACCCCACCCCACCCCGGCCCCCGCGGACTCTGCACTTGGACCCGTCAGTTGTGAATTGTCCGCCACATCTGTCGGGCCTCTTCCTCTTGTCCTCTAATTGTTGCTGAACCCTCTGACAGCAAAATGCCAACCTCCTGGCCCTCATCCCAAGCCCTTGAGCAGGCATCTCCTTGGAACAAGGGACTCTCCTCACATCTGTGCCACCACTCTCTCCCCCAAGCACCCGAGCGTTCAGACAGTAGCGTTCGCATTTCCTCAGAGGTCCCACAGGTCCCTTGTGACTTTCTCCCGGTCTGTGCAAGAGCCAGGCAGGGGTCACACACTCTCCRTTTGGCGACCTGTCTCTTGGTCCCCTTAGCCTAGAGCCTGCCCTTCCTCCAGGCCCTTTCTTTCTTCCTGATGAAGGGTCCAGACCCTGTCCCACTGCACCGCTGCTCGCTTCCTCCTGGCGGGAAAGCTCATCTCACCCGGAACATTTAGGAGCACGGTTTTCACGAGAAGTGATGCGAGTACTGTCTCCCCTGCTAATGGGGAGAGGGTGCCTGTCCCCAAGCAAATGTGGGCCAGGAGGGACAGAGAGCAGCTCAGTTGGAAAAGCCGCCTCGGGAACTTAATTAAAAGCAGAGGCTCTCAGAGGAGCCAAGAATAGGAAAACCTCCAAAACGACGATGGAGGGAACCCCAAGTGCTGCTGCAGAGAACCCCCTTAGTATCTCATTAAAGTGCTGCCTTCCCAGGGACAGAGGCCGCTCTGGCACCAAAGGGTGGGAATAATGGTCCCTGAGCAGGTTCAAAAAGAACAGTTTTCCAAAAAGTGCAGATGGGAGCCKCCTACCGATCACATTCCACGCATCTCTCCCCTGATCCTGGTTCCTTGTTTTGCTTTGGGAGATGAAACCTCTGTGCCGGATAGTCACCAGCTCAGAGCCACCAACCACACCAGCTTCCAGGAGCCAAATTGCTGGAAAAATATGAAAATACCTGCTCTGTCCTCTTAACCCCGCGTGGTGTGCTCCGCGTGTGGTCTCTGGGGACAGGAGGGGCAGGAAGAGAAGGCTCAGACACCTTCCACAGGTCCCCATGAGCGCATCACCTGGGGACCAGGCAGACCCCCACCTGCGTCCTTACCTTCCCTGGAGTCTGGCTGCACCTCCCGAGGGGTGGCTCGGGTCTGGGGACATCGGCCCCTTCTCAGGCTGGCCACTTCCTGGCTGCTGCTTTCCAGCCTCCTGGCCAGATCCTCATTCTCCTGCGCCAGCCGCCTCTTCTCGTCCTCCAGAGCTGACTTGTCTCGGAGGAGGTTGCTGTAGGCCACCTCCAGCTCCCTGGTTTGGGTCTCCAGCTGGTCTCGCTCCTTCCTCAGGGTGCCCAGCTCTCCCTGCAGCCCCTCCTGGCTCCCCTGGGGCCCAGCAGCCTGGCCCAGGGTCAGCTGGTTGAGGAGATTCTCCAGGGAGCTGAGCCGAGCTATGGTGGACTGCAGGTCGGCGCGCTGGGTGCTGCTGTCCCTCTGTAGGTCCTGGATGGCTGACATGGCCTGGCCCTGCTCGGGGCAGCTGGACTCACTGGGGCTGGCCACACTGAAGGTGTACTGGCACCGGCCGCTGCGATCGTTGGCCTTCCGGAGCTGGGCCGTCCTGGCCCCCGTGCCCCACGCCAGGCAGGCCAGAAGCAGCATGTGCGTAGCTGGCATGGTGGGCCTGCAGCTGCCGAGCACGGGGAACCTGCTGCAGAGGCTGGGCGAGCCTTCCTCCGAAACTGGGCAGCTCTGTGAGGTGGCTGGATGGGTGGCCCTGCTGGCTCCTGCCTGGACTCGGACAGGCTTATATATCCCAGGGAGCCAGCCCTGCGTGGAGGGGGTAGAGAGGTGGCCACGTGAGGCCGGGTGGGGCCCGCACAGGGGGTTGCTTCCAACACGGCCAGCGAGATTCTTAAAAAATAACCTTCCAGAAATCTGTTTTGAATTTCTTTGAAAAAAATGTCCCACTCTACGCACCCTACACCACAGTAGTATTCCCCGTGTGTCTCCTCTATTATTTGGGTGTGAGGGCACACATCCACACTCAATGATGTCTGCCTCATCCGAAAGGAAGACTGTGGGCTGATTTGAATAAGGACCTATTTCTAGTTTGAATTTCCATCCATTGCACAAATTGCTTTGTGCCAGGCTCTCTCTGCAAGGACCGAGATTACAGATGCCTATGGTAGTTCAGGCTCTGTATTGGGGACAGAGACAATTAACTGCCCACCAGAGCACATGGACAGCACCCACTGGGTGTCGGGCATCTGTGGAAGCAGCTGAAAGAAGATTTCTTCCCTTGCTTCTCATTTTTAAACTCTTCTTTGGGGGAGAGCATGCATCTGTGTGTGCATGTTCTTCATCATAAACTTTCTGGTAAAACCCATGGAACCTTCTCAGAAAATGTTTTATGTATAAGATGTATGAAATCACAAAGAAAACATGTGATATTGAATTATGATGAATGTCAAAATATCTAAAAATCTGAACTATGCTTGTGGTTACTTCATTAAGATCAAGATCTAGTAGTTTTGAATGTAGGCAGTATTTCGCAATATCTCCAACAACTGTGATGTAATATAAGACATCCATGGTTTTTCTTGGTAGGAACAAAATTACAACTATCATTAATTCAACATTGGGTTTGTGGCTATTTCCATGATAGAAAGAGATGTTAAATTTAGTTAGAAGGAACTGAAAATAAAAATGTAACTTACTTTCCCAGTCCAGAGTCATGGGCTTTGGGGGCCGAAGATTAATAACAGGTGTGGTGGGGCTGGCCGGGAGTCTCAGCTACTCGGGAGACAGAGGCACAAAGACTGTTTGAATCCAGGAGTTCAAGGCCAGCCTGGGCAACGTAGTAAGACCAGATCCCGAAAAAACAAAATCCAAAACACAAAGAGACCCCCTCCCCCCGCAAAGATAAATGGAAAAAACTCCCAAATGTACCAAGAACTGTAGGAAGTTGTGCAAATCAGCATGGTGTGGTAGCCTCAGGGGAGCTGGGCAACCGTAGGTTGTCAGATACCAATGACATCCTCAGTGTTTGTGTAGTAAATGTCTAAGGGTCCTGGCAGACTCACCTTAAGGCTGAAATCACAGAGTTTGCTCTAAAGATTCTATTCTTTTTTTTAAGAGAGAGAGAGAGAGAGAGAATTTTTAATATTTATTTTTTAGTTCTTGGCGGACACAACATCTTTGTTGGTATGTGGTGCTGAGGATCGAACCCAGAGCCCCGCGCATGCCAGGTGAGCGCGCTACCGCTTGAGCCACATCCCCAGCCCTTCTATTCTTATTCAAGGGGTTCTAAAGTTAAACCTGAACTTGAGACATTTACAAGTGGTGTCCATTCACCACTGAATCAAGGTCACGATTCTCATTTCCTGAAGCAGGCAGTAAATACCCCTGAAATGATTTTTTTTTGACCAGAAAAAATAATGAGCAAGAGTGAGGTTTGCATGTGTTGGTTTCATTCTTAGGAAGCTTTTCTTTCTGTTGAAAGGATGAAGCTGGATCCCGAGCTGCCAGCTCCGTGGAGGAGAAGAATTTCCTGGGAAGAGAAGTGTAAGTAGTCTCCCTGCCTCCAGTTGATACCTGGTGAGGTCCTGGGTTGCTGAAGGAGGAACGTGATCTAGAGATCAGTGTCCTGACTCCTTTCTGCTCCCTGTCATCCAGGCCCCCGCTCTGTAATGGCCGTGGCCTTGGCAGGCGGTTCCCACTGTGCTTGATAAATCTGTCTCTTCTCTTGTGCTGGGTCCCTCCTCTGCTCCTCCAAGATGCAGACCGGTCCTCAGCATTGAGGTCATCGTCCAGCTATGTCAGTGCTGTTCAGAGCTTGGCCATCTCTGGCATTTCCACTTGCTCTGGGCCAGTTTCTGAGTGCCAGGCTGAGTGCCAGGCTGAAGCGGCCCTGGTCATTCTCAACCTCTGTGGATGGTTAGGGACAGAACATGTAGTTGTTTGCTCTGTTGAGCATCCCTCGTTCATGTGCCTCAGGGTGGGTCACCTCTGCCCCAGGACTGATGGGATCCCACCTTCTGCCTCCCCCCGAGGCCTGCTGTTGCTCAGCTGCATGGGCTCTGCCTCCTGCCAGCCCTCAGCAGCCCAACGGGGGGGGAGATGTTCATAGAATATTGGACCCCAGCCCCTCACAGATAAGAAAACTGGGGCCAGGGAGGATGGGGACTTGCCCAGGGTCACACGGCCAACGAATGGCAGAACCAGAAAGAAACAGTGTCCTGAGTGACAGGTTTCCCTCCTCCTGGCACAAGCCAAGTCCACCCATTGCCCGAGGCCTGGCGATTCCAGTCATTTCTTCCATGACTCAGTGCCCGAGGAAGTGAGCTCGTGGCCTCTGTCCCCACCCAGCAGGGCCTTCAGTGAAGGAGGACTCACGCACACTCGAGTGTTTAATGGCTGATTTTATAAAAAGGCATCCTTTCATGAAATAGAATATTCTTCTCCAAGCAGAAAAATAGGCTCACTGAACAAAGCAGGAGACTCCCAGCTCCGCGGACAGCGGCCAACATCTGGTCAGCTTGAGCCTGCCCTTTTCACCTTCCTGCCTTTCAGCACTCCCTGCAGGCCAGCCTCCCCCACCCTGCCGTCCCCACCTCCGGGAATTCTGGACATGGAGACCCTTTTCCCTCTTAGGAAACATTGACCACCCCGATTCCCATTCGGACTACGTTCCATCTCCATTTCCTTTCTGGAGCCTGGAGCCAGGGAGTCTCCAGCTCAGATGTGCCAGGAAGATGCTCACAGGGAGTCAGACCAGCTGCAGCCGGTGTGTTGTCTTTGGAACTGGTCTGCAGCCCGTTTGCCTGGCAGGGCGGAGGCAGCAGGGGGCGCTAGGGAGCAAGATCACGAAGGTGCTTAGTGCATGATTGAACTGCCTCCCTCTGCCCGTCTTGGGGACACAGGCTTCTGCAAACACACACTGCCCCACATGGAAGGATTCTCCGTGTGCCTTCCCTTCACCGTGGAGCCCACAGCACCCTCTCCACCTGGCAAGGCACCCTGGCATTCCCTGCTGGTTTAGCAAATCATTCAGATGATCCACTGCTAACCACCCACTCTGGGCCAGGGCTGCACACACACGCACGTGTGTAAGACGCAGAACTAGCCTTCGAGCTGTGACATCTGTGAGTCTATCCACACAGGTGAAGTGCCAGAGCAGGCTCAGCAGGGTGACAATCGTGGGCACAGGACGGGTGTCACAGGGGAGGTGGCACTTGTACTGGGGCCTACTGAGGTGGTGCGAGGGCACTCGGGTTGTAGGTCTGCCTGTCCTGGACCCTTCACGTTTACATGGTGTCTGGGATGGAGAACTGCAGGATCACTTTTAGATGAAACGCACAGGATGTCTCCTTCATTGCTACTTCCTGCCACCCCTGGACACCCTCTGGCCCAGAGCAGTAGGGAAGGGAGAGCCTCAAGCCAAAGGTCCTGTCGTCTCCTTCATCCGGGGCTTGAAGGGGAGCTGGTCCTGGGCACTGGGCCTCCTCCTTGGATGAGCCACTTCCGAGGGTAGGTTCCCGTACGTTGCAGCCACAAGCCCAGCAGCACCAGCCGGCCTGCCCCGACAGGAAGCCCACGGGTACAGTGACGATGCTCTCAAGGGAGCCCTGAGGGCTCCAGAGTCGGGTCGCATCTCATAAAAGTCATGATGTCCTGTCAATAGTTTTAGGCCCATGGTTCCCCCACTCATTCTGCAAACGTCTGAGCACAGTCTTGCTATTCAGCCTGTTAGACTGATATTCCTTGAGCCACAGACAGGATGGTACCTGGCAGGGGGGTAGCGGGGGGGATATGGGAATATGAAAGAAAAGTGAGACCTCGTTTAAGAAACCAAGATTGTAGCTCATTTTGGAAAAGAGCCTCAGGCCAGTGCGGCAGAGCCCTGGTGGATCAGTCTGGGAAAGAAGGGTGGAGAGGACCGTGGCTCCTTGTGACCTCCGGGAGCTAGGACACAGTATCATTATCCTCAGGACATTATGAAATTGTTACCTGTCGGGCCTGCCCTGATCAGGTATCACATATTTATTTTATACTTAAAATGATTAAAATTAATTATCTTTCAAGAGTCTAAAGACTTTCTAGAAAAACTGCTGCTGACGCGCCCTGTTGATTTGAATGGAGACGGTCTCTGGTGGCTGTCTAACCGAGCCTTCTGTCTCACTGTGTGTCCTTCCCTGAAAAACCCGACTTCAGGCCAGGTGCAGTGGCACACACCTGGGGCTTGGGAGGCTGAAGCAGGAGAATTGCAAGTTCAAAGCCAGCCTCAGCCGTTTGGGGAGGCTCTAACCCACTCAGCAAGACCCTGACTCTAAATAAGAAATATAAGAAAGGGCTGGGGATGTGGCTCAGTTAAGCACCCCTGGGTTTAATCCCTGGTACCAAACAAAACAAAACAAAAATCCCCAGACTTCATGCACCCTCGGTCTGCGGATGCGGACCTACAGGTGATGATGTGCACAACCCCTCGGCGCCCCCGGCCCCGGCTCCTGCCCTTGGAGTCTCCTCTGGGTTTTGCGGCTGTTTTTCTGTTTTGCTGGCCTGAACTTCCTGAGCTCCCTGCAGTGATGCTGTCTGGTTTATAAACAATGATCCACCCTGGGACCCGTCCGACCGTAGGCCTCACGTGTTCCCCTCCAGCTCACGTGGACGGCTTCCTGGGGGAAGCAGCCTGCGCTGTGGATTTGGAAGCCTCTTCCCGAGCTGTGTTCCTTACTTGTTGATCTGAAGTTAAACCCAGGGAAGGCTTCCTTTGT